CATTCCTTGATCAAGATTCAATTAATTACCTAAGAGAGAATAATATATTAGTATTAATCGAACAGAATAAACAAAATCAACAACAGCAATATCAACAACAACAACAACAACAACAACAACAACAACAACAACAACATCGTTTATTCGATTATCCATATTTTCTACAATCTTTAAACATGATACAATTCTGTGAAGTCATAGGAAATTACTATATATTAGAGAAAAACGAACGCATAACTTATAGGAGCAAAAACAAATATAAATTAAAAATTGATTGTTTAGTTGGAGAAATTTTAAAACTTTTATTAAAAAAATCAAACAAAATCACACATTTAATTATTAAAACAGTTTCATTTAATGGAAATACACCAAGATTTTTTAATATTTTAAGTAATTTAAAAGATTATCCTAATTCAATAGAAGCAATTTCTAATCTTAAATCTTTTGAATATAAGGTTTTAGATGTTAATGAATTATTATTGTTTAAATTATCTGAATATTGTCATAACATTGAAAAAATATCCATTAATAATTACACGTGGGATTTAAATCAAACAGGAATAAATCAATTAATCAAAAACACTCAAAGATTAATCAAAAATCAACGTAATTTAGAAAATCTTAGTATATATGGCATAGAAAGTGACATTTCACCTATAATAAGAGCACTTGAATCTCAATCACATTCATTGGTTGAATTAACATTATCAGAGTTTAAACTAATCGATATTTCATCATTAAGGTCACTTGCAAAATGTACAAATTTAGTTTCATTAGAAATTTCATTTTATTTATACACAAATAACAGTGACTTTTTTAAAAATTTCATTAAAAATTTCACAAGTATCAAGTTTCCTTTATTGAAATATTTGAAATTGAATATTTTTAATTCAATTCCAATCGTAGAAGATTTAGAATTATTTTTCAAATTAAATGGTTCCCAACTAGAAGAACTTAGATTAACAATTAATTTCAATGATAATCCAGGTATTCTACAAATATTAAATAAATATTGGATATTTCTGGCAAGATTGATTAATTAA